AGAATTGTCGTTCAATCGAACCACCCTTGCTCTGTAGTTGATCCGATAGTCATTGCCATGTAGATACCATGTCACAACCTGGAATGTCAATCGTTCATCTTGGGTGAGCTCACCAAATTCAAGGCCAGCTTGGGCAAGATGTTGAATGAAATCCGGTTGCAGGTGCATAGGTGTTTGCACTGGTGCAACTTCGGGAAGTCGTTCATATTCAGGTTGAAATCCTTGAGGTGACCTGAAAGCACCTTGTGAAGGAAAATGATGTTCCTTGACACCTTTGGATTGGCGATGCTTTTTCTTTTTGATGCGCCATGGCTTGTCCTTCCACTTCAGTGCTCGTTCAGGAAGTAGTTGTGTGGATTCAGACCCAAGCTCATCTTCCACAGGGAAGAGAACCTCGATAAACGAGGAAAAGTTCACGGACTTCGCGGGCTTTGAACTGTCAGTGCTTCGACAAGACGTCCATGCGTCGCCTGTCCGGAGCATAGAGGATCTGACAGGGTTCCACTCTGCCACAAAAAAGGCAGGCCATGATCACAATCTTGTAGCTGTGAATCGCCTCGATGTTCACAATGTGATGAGGTCATGTGAGGTGTGGTAGAGGAGCTTGATTGTAGTCCTTGCTGCAATGGAAGGCATGCTGCACAATGCATTGGTTGTAACACAATGTCATCATAGGCATCAGCCTCAAAGCCAGCAATTGAGGGACTGTAGCGTTCTGGCAAACGGCGTTCTATCTCGAAGGGACTAGAGCAGCCGCTGCCAAAAATCACTTGCCAGCAAATCCACGCGTATCCCCATCGAGAGTTGCAGGTGGATCTTTTGATCGAGGACGTTTGGCGGTACGTCCCATTGCTTCGTCTTCCTCTTCGGACTTGATCTCGATAGGCTCTTTGTTGTTGGCCTTGAGACAATTCTGCAGAAGCTCGTTGACTTCTTTCCTTAATGTGGCCTCCTCTTGGTCCATCTCCACATTCACATCCTGTTCGACATCGTCCTCCAGAGGTGTTTCTGGCAGGGCGGCCAGCGCAGCTTGGGTGTTGAGTCTCTGAATGTCCCTCCTTGTGATCTGGATATCTTTCCGGATGGTTGCAATGCGGACAGTGTAATCTTCTTGCTGTTCGTCGTAGGCAACCATCTGTCGAGAAAGCGATTCCATGATCGTTTTGAGGTGCTTCAGCCAGGTGGTACGATGCTTGGTCTTGGCCTCCTGCAACTTGTGCAAAGTTCGTCTTGAATTGCCCTGAGTGGTTGTAGCTCTGTACATATCTGCTTCGATCTGTTTCGTAGATCGCACTTCTGCTTTGATCAGAGCCTTGCGGGCATTGTCTGGCATTGCATTCAGATCTGGATATGCCTCCCGTAGCGCCTGGGCCAATTCTGCACTGTTCTCTGCATCTGCACTGGAAGCAGCTGTTGTAGATGCTTTGAGATTGGTTTTCTCCGGCTTCCAAGGAGGTGGCATCGTAGGAGCAGCATATCGAGGAACTTGTTGATTGTCTGCCTCCTGCTTGCCTCGTCCTTTGCCTCGTTTGCGGGTCTTCTTGCGAGGTGTCTGCTGCTTGGTAGACACACTTCTTGAAGACTGTCGAGACGTTCTGTTGGAGTGGTAGGAGTCGGATTCCTCCTCTTCTTCCCAAGTCCAATCCCACGTCTGATTCTGTTGATCTTGCCTCTTCTTGGTTCTTGGTCGTGAGTGTCTCTTCTGTGCCACATACGATCGGTCGTAGCACTTCTCCCATCGACCACCACAGTGTGGACAAAGAGGGTGTGTCCAGCTCACAACTTTGAAGCACCTGATGCACCTCCACGAGTCGTCCATTGTATGAGCAGCTCGGCAAAGCTTGCGAAGCCTGGTCAAAAATGGATGATCTGCTGAATGGTGTGCACTCAGTGTTGCAATACGTACCTTCACCTGAGTCTTGCTCAAAGGGAGGTGTCCACGTCGAAAAAGCCAGAGAGAATGCCTGGCCTGTGCTCTTTTGCGTCTCTGCCGCCTCCGCCAACTTGGTGTCAATACCGCCGCAATGGTGAAGAACAAAAAGCAGTGGAAAAAAGAGCTCGACAAACATGTAGCGCAGTAGGGGATCAAGTCAAAGTAGCCAGGGCAATACCAGTTCAGCTATGATGACAATGTCCCGAATCACCAACTTATCCCTGTTCGAAATAGACAAGGAGGTGAAGCAACGGTGATGGGGAC